CAAACTTTGCCCGAAATCTTGTCCTATTAACATGAAATAATTAATTAAGCAAATAATTATTGGATTCGATGAGAAATAATAAATTATAAGAAGACAAAAGAGATCAATTAATAAATACACGGAAAAAGAATCATTCTAGCTTCCGGAATTATTCTTCTACCTCAATTATTATTTCATTAAGAACAAACAAAGACTTTGACAGCCCCCCATGAGTTGACTATGCGGCAAAAAGGCATTGCTCGAGTACGTCACCTTTAATTTCAATATTAACAAATAAAGCGACATTAATTTAATTTATTAGATAGTTTGACGATGGATACAAGATATCATTATATCAAAAAATTAACCTTTTATTTCAATGTACGTGTTTGCAATTGGTCAACGTCACAAAGATTAGTTTACATTCAGTCCCACATGAGATTTTCTTCAATGAGTTTATAAAAATCTATCAGATTGTGAATGGAAAAAGCCAAAAAAATAAATAAATTGTCGACAGTAGAAAGACAAATAAGATATTTCTTAATAATTTTGACATGACAATACAAACGGTAATTGTGCATAAAAATAACTCATTATTTTAAAAGTAACCGTGCAGATCCATTAGGTAAATGAATAAAAAAATCAATAAGAATTTGAGAGCACAACCAACAAGGTATCATAGTTCATTAGATGAAGAGCCTACTCGACTCGACATGCAATAGAGAGTAAAGACATGTTTGAATGTTAAGAAATGTAGTAACTTTTGAGCATAGAATTTCTTGTAGTACGACCTCTCTATGCAACCTAGAACAACTTTTTAGTGATCATGATCAACGAATCTGTTACGCTCCTATCTGAACCACCTTGGAATGTCCACCATCATACACTCCGATCTGATAGACATCCACTCGAAGTGGTTCCGAAGTGATGTCCCCAATGTCAACGATCTTCTATCACACTAGAGACATAGGCGATTCTGCTGAACTGACCAAATCACCCTCGCCCCTAAGGCCGAGGCGAATCTGCCGCCAATTTTAGAAGGGGATCTTTGCCAAGATCCTTTCTGCCCCTAAGATTTAAATTGACCTTACGTCTCCATGAGGCTAGTTGATGTGACTTATCAACTTTATGTCAACTCAACTTGGGAGAAGCAAATACTCGACGCCTATGAGCAGACACCTCATAGCGTTAGACGTATACACGTGCCCTATATTCAACGGTTCATCTCACCTATAAATACCCAAGGGTTGGTAAGAGGCAAAGGTAATGAAACTCTTACTATATAGCACTCCATAGCAAGTATATATATTTTCTCCTCCCCCTTATTATTTTGCACAACCCCTGAAAGGCACTGTTCCGACCACCTGAATCTGACTTGACCGTCGGAGTGTATACAATCGCCACCACCCCCGCTGATCCCGACCGTGTGTATCTGACCATGCGTTGATGTGCGCAGGGAGGAATATGTGGAGTAGCTATCAATTGGCCACGTTGAAGGTCCAATTTTCGAGGTCAACAGAATCTATATGAGTAAGAGTTCAAAATGGTGTCAAAATTCATGTGATGTCTAGATTATTAATGTGCAATAGAAAGTATGCACAAATAATTATCCAATATAAAAAGCACAACCTCTCTACATAACCACAACAACCCAAAGTATATCTAGATATCAAGATGGATCTTCCAGTAAGAATTTTAAAACACCCAAAATGGTGTTACAATCTGCTTCGTGAAGAGCTTATTTGACACAATTATGGCATGTTTAAAAATTAGTAAATAATTACGTAATTATAAAAGCCCTATCTCTCTAAATAACTGACAAAGATAAAACAGCGAATCGCTTTCTTTAAGAATTTAACAAAGAAACCAAAATGGTGTCACAATTCACTTGATGAAGAGCTTATTTAATAAGCAATAGAAAGTATGACTGTGTTTGAAAGTTAATAAAAGTGAGAAGTATTTATGCAATTTTAAAATCAAGATGTTTCTACAGCACGAATCAAAATTCTCTAGTACAAAAATCAACACAAATCACAATACATTAGGTTAAAAATAAAAATAAAAATAAAAATAAAAAAATCATAAAATTTGAAATAAGTACACGTCTCACGTCAAGACGATGATATTTGTCAAAAATAATAAGTATTGGATTAGATGAAAATTAGTCTTTCAGTATGAGAGGACAAAAGTGATCAATTAATATGTATATGGAGAAGGATCATTGTACCTCAATTATTATTATTATCTCACTAGGAACAAAGACTCTGAGAGTTCCATAAGTTGACTATGCGGCAAACGTCCGTTGCTCGACTATGTTAATTTAAATAGCAGAACCCGACATAAATGGCTTCTTGAAATTGGAAAAGGGAAAAGGAAAGTTATTTATTAGTGCATTCCAGTAAGGAAGTTGGACTCTTCGATTTTGTTTACACACTTTCATACTGTGAGTCAAATGCATTTGTTTACATTTTTACTGTTATTAATTTCTGTTCTTTTTTGTTTTTCGGTTAAATTTTTGGGTAAATTGTTTCAAGATTCGTTACCTTTTTGGAGCATTGAATTTTTATTATGGAGGAAATTGGGGTTTCTTCTACATTGATTACAGTGTAATCATATTGGTTCTTCGCAGAGCGTTAAAAATCTCTGTGGCGGCTGAGAAAGACTGGACTGAAGGGGAAGATAAAGAAGGAACTGGGTTTCATCAATCTTACTGGAAAATCATATTCTTTTACTTCAATTTTGGGTGTGTTTTCTCTTTTATCAAAAAGTTATGATTTTTAACATTGGTTCTCTGTGATTGTGTGTAGTGTGTGTCTCTTTGCTTTACGTATCCATTATTTAGTCCATAAATATATCATATAATCCAACGATTTCTTCCCAAAGTACACATATCGAACATGAACAACAAACAACCGATTTTTCCTTTTTTTCATGATACGTTGTTCGAAAAAAAAAAATTTTGACCCCACAGTTCAGATGGTCTGGGTCCGCCCCTGACTATGTGCATATTGAATTCTGATGTTAACAAGTATAAATGACATTAATTTAATTTATTAGATAGCTTAACGTTATTTATGAGGAATAGAATGTTTCTTATATAAAATGACACCCTTTAATCGAGTAGAAATAATCATTACAATTACACTTCTAATAATCTATGAGTTCAACTGATTCATACCCATCAGTTAAAAGGGTGTTTGATGGGGATTTTGAAAATTGATTTTTTGGCCGTTAGAGATAAAAGCGGATCGTATCTGTGAGAGAATAATTCAAAAATGACGACTGCAATAGTGAAATAATGGTTGAAAAATTGTTTCACTTCGCTTAAAATCCCGGCCATAAAGATTCTTGAGAAGTTTTGTCCTTTTTCACAAAGGCAGCCTCACTTCTTTACATAAAGAATGAGTACTACCTTTATTTTCGAAAAGTGAAAAAATTAATCAACGCTAAACATGAATTCTTTGAATATAGAAGAGACAATTTTATCATAACTATGTCGGCTAAATAAATCTCCACGTGGATTAACTTGCTAAAAGCCTCTCTTGAAGTGGTTTTTTATTTTTTTCGTAAAAATATGTTGCAAGAGATATTTACTATAAAATCTAACACACAATTAAATATATAATTAAAAACATTAATCTATCTTCCCTTTGACAACTAATTTACAAATAATTATCATAATTTTAATCATTCATTCAAAATTATTACTTATTTATTAACTATTCATTTTGTGACACTTATCAGCCCTTGTTTAATGGGGATTAAAATTAAATTTGTATTAGATTTTGATTAAAGTTTTTGAAATTTGTGTTTGAAAAGTTGCGAAAATTCATGAAAGATGTGATCAGTACTAGTTGTTTAATTTTTACTTAAATTAAAATTAATACTAAATAGGGGCTCAATATTATACAAATTGGATGGCTAGAAAACGGTCAACTATTGTAGGAGAAGTAGTATTCACACGAAGACTAGGACGATAAATTAATCAGAAAATCAGTCAACTATGGCTGTCCAGATATTCTTGGTGCGACCCCGCATCACATCCAGTCAGGGGCCACCAAATATTCTCACTTACTAGCTAATTGCCCGAAGAGCCTAACTCAACTACTACTGTGCTTCTCACGTTGAATAGACGACACGACTCAACAGCATATTAAAATATTTTTCATTTAACAGAGGGATGACAAACGGACCAAATCGTCTGCGAGTTCACGAATTCAATTCGTTGCAGCTTAATCCATGGACTTGTTCTGAAACGACCTGACTCGTTTTCAATTTCATTTTATTAATTTCTTAAAAAATGAGCTGGATCATTGGCTCGTGACTAGATCGGCGAGGCCTACTCCGGCCCACAAGTTGAAGGATCAAATCAAGCCCACTTTATGGACACAAATGGAGCTCGTGTGTCTAAGGCTCGAGATGGTTTGTTTTAACCCATTGTCACCCCAACTTAATACGTAATGAGTACTTCTTCCTATTTCATATGAATTAAAAAAAATGCGTGTTTTTAAGTTATCATATGCATGAAATTTTTAGTTCATTAAGATTAACCAAAACTAGAAACGAGTAGGATAAACTTTCGAGTTAGAAATTAGGTATAAAGGGATGGTACAATAGTAGCCACAAGCATAAGATTATATAATAAATATAGAGTTTCTATCGAATATCTTATTTGAAAAATTGATCCAATTTAATCATGTATGACTTAATTATAATGTTCTCACATCCTACACTATTTTATTTATCGGTTGTGCTATATGTACATTACGACTTACAGATTTATTTACTAACAGAGAATGTGAAAATATTTGATTAAATTAAAATCTGAATTTAAAAAAAAAAAAAACTCTCTTTTGACACCTTACAAATCTATAAAAGACAATGTGAATGATGATGTATAATAATTAATAAATAATAGTATTAAGAAAAAACTAAAATGAAAATATTTCTATTTAATCGTCCAATCCTATAGAATGTTGAATAATATTTCAATGAATTATTTAGGGTGGCAAAAGAGTCGAGTAGTTCGTCGATTCGGTTAGTCAAAGCTCAGCCCATAGATGACTCAAGCTAGTTTTGAGATAAGTATGAGCTGAGCAAGGAACAACTCGCAAATAAGCCTAAAGTATACGAGTCCACAAGCTCATAAAAAATGTGAACAAAAAATTGAAGAAAATCTCACGAGCTCGGCTCGACCATTGAACACAAGCCAAGCTCCTGGTTAGACAAGCCGAGCCAGCTCGACACGACCCGATCCATTATCACCAATAAAATTATTATTGAGTTAAATGATTATCATATTTAATAAATTTCATCAAATAATATATTGGCTCGTGGATTCGTAAAAAAATGTGAATAAAAAAATTAAAAATATATAAAAAAAAAATCTTGAGCTGATGTGCTCGGCTTGTGAGCTCAAGAGCTCGACTTGGTCTTTGAGCACGAGCCGAGCTCGTGGATAGATAGACTGAGCATACTCGGCTCAATCCTTTGCCATCACTAAAATTATTATTGAGTTAAATGATTATCCGATTTAATAAATTTCATAAAATAATATATTAACCTGAAAAGAATAATTTTCTATTTCTATCAAAATATTCTCGAACTTGATTGATTATTTGGGCAGTGTGAAATCTGACAATGGTCCATGGGATGTCGGCTAGACAGCCTAGACCCATTGCCGCCACTAAAATTATTCTTGAGTCAAATGATTATCCTATTTAATAAATTTCGTAAAATAATATATTAACTTGTAAAGAATATTTTTCAATTTCCATCAAAGTATTCTTGATGGACTATTTGGGCCTCGAGAAATCTGACAATGGCCCATGGGATTTCGGACAGGGATATTTGGGTGGTGGAGACTCGGTGTTGACTCACTAGCGGACGCGGCGATTCTAGAAGGGGTGCTCCACAAATTTTCCTATTGTTGAATCTGTGTAAAATCACCGCCGTCCGTTCACAGATGTGTAACTCGTTTATCGATTCTAGAACGGGTGCTCCACAAATTTTCCTATAGTCCAGTAATTGAATATGGGAAAAAGTCATATATGCCTAAGACATAAAAAATATTTTAATATATACTAAAAAGTAATTTAATTTTATAACATACTACATACACCAAAAATAAAACATGAAACTTTCCTAGATAAAAGTTTGTAACTGAAATTTTTAATATGTAAATATCACGCTGAACATTTACAGCTTGTTTGAACCTCATTATTTAGAAAAAATGCATTTTACTGTATTTTGACATCATTTCAACTATATATTTTTCAATAAAATGATATTAAATGCAAATCCAAAAAAAATTTCTTATTTTTTAACCATATATTTCCTATCAATACACTATTCAAAAATTCATTTTTTCCTCTAAAATGAGGCTCAAACAAGGACTTAATTACACCTACAATAACGGAAATTAAAAAATCCAATATGGAGTTGAATTTTTAGATGCTTGCAGATGTAGGATAAAAAAAAAATTAAAAAAAATCCATTTCCTGCCATGGAATCTTTGAATTTCATCAGGGGCGTTTGATTAGTAGTGTTGATTCTTAATAAAAACCGAGTTTTATTAAGAAATCAAGGTAAGTATGATCATGATGTCTGAATCATCCTAAAAATCATTATGTATCCAAGTAGAAAATGCATTCTCTCTCTTTTGGCCTAGGTATTTGATCCTGATTACACTATTACTACATTTTTATCTAAACATTCCAGTTTGTGTATTCTGCATCTGCATATGAAATTCCTTGTTTACCTTCATTGTTCTATTAACCTGGTAACTCATTTTTTCTTCTTCTTTTAGGTTGAATTTTCAAATATGGTATAATTTCATGACGTGTATTGCGCGATGTATGCGAAGTTCGCTTCTGACTATCACCTATTCTGTAATTATTGAATTTATCCAAATTTCATACAAGCTACGTGTTGTGATGGATGGATATTTGACAAATTTCAAAGCGTGTCCATGACATTATATTCTTTTTTATTATCCATTTTTAAGGTTCATATTCATTGCAGGCAAGTTTGCAATGTATACATCATAAAGTTTGCCAAGTTCATATTTGATGATTCCAGATCTCGTTATTATCGAACCCCGACTACTTGACCCCGATCACACCTCCAACCCCGACCTTATCATCATCTAAAAACACCAAAACCAGCTCGGATATTTGAGGTCGGGGTAGATGTGTTGACTCGTCAACTTCCATATGTGACCTATGGAAGCACTAATCCTACCTTGAACACAATCCCTACCTTCTAGACTCCTTCTTTGACTCAAACAGTGATTTGAATACATGAGGTGAAACACCAACTCTTTTTCCTACGAGGGAGAAGGATTGTGGCAGAATCAGTCCTCCTAGGACTCAACCACTAACACCTATAAATATACAACCTGTGCTCATTCCAAAGGTACGTTCTTCATTATTATCCTCAGTTTATAGTTTCACGCATAAAATTCCCTGTCTGACTTAAGTATCGGAGGGGCGACGAGCACACACATCGTTGCCTTTGTTTCAGGTACTGGAAGGCGCAGTTCGTGTTCCATCCCAGTCATCAAGCTCGAGACTTTCAGGTGATATTTTTTGGTAGCATCAATATTCAACTGGAAGATTCAGCAAATAGCGAATGTTTTTGTTCCCGCAAGCACTATAACAAGCCTAGCGTGTCAACTGTATAAGTATGGAAATCAAAACTAAATGGAGGCAATGAAATTGATTCAAATTCCTTATTGAGATCGTCAGAAAGCTAAGAAGGAAAAGATCGTAAAAATTTCATAGATGACGGACAAGGAGAAATCAA